GTGAGGATGAAAACGATGGAGAGACAGAGTTTGCTGAAGAGGAGTGCCGAGGAAGGTGGTAGGGTAAGTCGCACAGTGAGAGACAGAGAGAGACAGACAGAGAGACAGAGAGAGAGACCGAGAGACAGAGAGAGACAGAGAGAGACAGACAGAGAGACAGAGAGAGACAGACAGGGAGACAGAGAGACAGAGAGAGACAGACAGACAGAGAGACAGACAGAGAGAGGTGCTGAAACTCTTGAATCTATTCCACCCTGACAGATTACCGTTGTTTCGCTGCTTGTCGGATCCCTGGGGGAAGGGAATGTCTGAAATCAAATCGAAGTCTTTGCTTGAACCGCAAGTCTTTGTGGCCGTGTGTGCCTGTGTGATTTAGGGGAGTTGGGGACAGAGCTATCGGGTGATCAGGAAGAGATGAACGATGTTCAAGTCTGTCGCTGTTATCCAGCAAACAGGACAGGACGGTTTTCCTTCAACTCTGCAGAATTCGCCTAACCTGCTGGGGCTTTCTTCCCCCTTTTTTTCTCTCTCTCCCGGGATTATGTCCATTACATATGTATATTATGTAAATACATTATGTACATACATATGTATATGTATATATGTATACATATGTATGTGTATATGTATATACACATATACATATGTATATTATGTATATATATTATGTACATATATGCATATTATTGCATGTATTAAGTATACACATATGTATATTATGTAAATGCATTATGTTTATACATGCATATACATATGTATATTGTGTATATGTATTATGTATATACATATGCATATTATGTATATGTATGTGTATTATGTACATGTATTATGTATATACATATGTATATGTGTGCTATGTATATTACAAAATGTATCCGTGTTTAGCTTTGGTGCTCGCTTTATAGTCTATTGCTTTTGGGACAAAGTCTGTTGGGTAAAGGACATCCCACCCACCGGGATTTCTAACAGAGCTGCTGACTCCCTTTATATTGCTACTGTGCAGTGAGGCTGGACTCTGACACTGCACCAGATACCGCCGCACCCAGCAAACGGAGATCACCCCATGACTTGTTCCGTTCAATTATCAGAGCCGCTGGGTGCCTCAAATGTATATAAATAGTGTCCTGCATAAGTAAGAAATGATTAGGATAGTCAGCATGGTTTTGTGCAAGGGAAATTGTGTCTCCCAAGCTTTACTGAGTTTTTTTGGGGGAAGTGACCAAGAAGATTGATGAGGGCAGAGCAGTAGACATTGTTTACGTGGACTTCAGTAAAGTTTTTGATAAGGTTCCACATGGTAGACTGTTTAGTAAAGTTAGGTAACGTGGAATTCAGGGTGAGCTTGCCAATTAGATACATAATTGGCTTAATGCCAAGAGACAGAGAGTAATGGTGCAGGATTGTTTTTTGGACTGGAGGCCTGTGACCAGCGGTGTTCTGCAGGGATTAGAGCTGGGTCCTCTTTTTGTTTGTTATTTATGTAAATGATTTAGATGAGAATATAGAAGGCATGGTTAGTAAGCTTGCAGATGACACCAAGATTAGTGGTATAAAGAACAGTGAAGAAAGTTATCTGAGATTACAAAGGGATTTTGATCAATTGGGTCAATGGGCTGCAAAGTGGCAGACAGAATTTAATTTGGATAATTGTGAGGTATTACATTTTGGTAAAACAAACAAGGGCAGGGCTTGTGCAGTTAAAAGTAGGTCCTTGGGTAGTGTTGTAGAACAGAGAAACCTAGAGGTTCAGGTACATAATTCTGTGAAATTTGTATCACATGTAGATAGGATGATTAAGAAGGCATTTAGCATGCTTGCCTTCATTGCTCAGACCTTTGAGTATAGGAGTTGGGATGTTATGTTGTGGTTGTACAGGATGTTGGTGAGGCCTCTTCTGGAGTACTATGTCCAGTTCTGGTTGCCCTGTTATAGGAAGGATACTGTTAAGCTAGAGAAGGTTCAGAAAAGACTTACCAGGATATTGCCGGGAATGGAAGGTTTGAGTGAAAAGGAGAGGCTAGATAGGCTGAGACTTTTTTCACTAGAGCGTAGGAGGTTGAGGGGTGACCTTATAGAGGTTTATAAAATCATGAGGGGCATAGATAAGATGAATGGTAGGTTTCCTTTCCCTAGGGTGGGTAATTTAAGACTATGAGGTATATTTTTAAGGTGAGAGAAGCAGCTCTTGCCTGTCGAGCATTGAAGACACATTCTCAGAAGATACGCTGTGAGTGCCAACCAGCCTCTCACTTAGAACACCTCAGTTCCACTGAAGAAGGAACTTAACAAGTTGACCCTCGCAAATTGCAGACAGCTCAGGAAATTGTTGCAAAGGCTGTCGAAGCCAGAATGCACACTTAAAACAGGAGGTAATAACCTACTCAGATATGGCATCAGCTCCCTGGGTTTTCTCTACTTGTCTGCGCATCCACCTGGGGAAAAGCCACGTGTGAGTAGGATGGTACGAGAAGATTCTGAGTTGATGTTATTTTTAAGGGGATTTAATATCCCTGATGCACATGAGCCTGCTTCTATGTCCCTCTCTATCCTTGGTAGTTAAGATTCTGCCCAATAATTCTGTCTTCATTTTAATGTGAGCATCACCATAGGAAACAGAGCAAAATAGAAAGCAGAGTTCAGAGTGAAATTTGGTTATTAATGTTTGGTAAAGTTGTAGGGCAGCTAATGAACACTTTCAAATTGATCAGGAAAATTGGTGGAACACTATATTTTTTAACTTTTCCTGAACATGGCCTTAAATCAAGAAAATTAAACTGCTCTGGTTGTTTCAGTGCTTACAGTTCCATTGTTTAATGAATCGGGTTTTGGACTCTGTGAAGTCAGTTGCAATTTTATCCTTTCTATTCTGTGGAATTTGTTGGTGTCCTCGCAGGACAGCTAAAAATAAATCATTGATAAGGCATAGTTGGTAAAACCCTGACAGCTGATGAGTTCAATGTAGTCCAGTTGATACAAGCTCCAAATCATAAAACCACTTCATTAGTGGAATTGCCTATTCTAGTCGCTCATACCGTATGCAAGTATATAGTGCAAAATTAATACTGTATTTATGATGTGGAGGTGCCATTGTTGGACTGGGTTGGACAAAGTCTCAGGACACCAGGTTGTAGTCCAACAGGTTTATTTGGAATCACAATTTTTTGGAGCACTGCTCCCAGAGATTTACAATAGAGCCTGTTGTTTTTGTCATATGACCTCCCCATTAAGAATTTACAGTGGTTTATTGTTATATCTTGCTAAGAACAGAATCGCTCTAATGATTATCAAAGAGGAAATTAGCCAGAAGCCACAGGAGAAATAAGTGAAGTATCAAGTGAATATCATGTGGTCTTCCCTGAGGATGAAAATCATGTTATGCTTCTTTCACTACAAGTTCTGATTGATGTGGTGTGGCACATATTGCTGTATTTTCATCACAAGGAGTTGGGCTTCAGTTTTGTTTTACATTGGCAAATCCACTTAATGTGCGATAACATCAATAAGTGGCTGCTCAACATAATTGCCTCTTATGAATAGCAGATTGTCTGTCTGGCATTTGGTGAGGGCAGGGAATTAGAGAATTGGCAGAGAAGAGATGATCAAATACTGTATCAAATGTTGGAATTTGCTGGTCTTGTGTCAGTCCCTGATATGGATTATTATCTGTGCAGCAGAATTTTAAATTGTTATTACTGATTTTTGTTGCTCCTGTGAACAGTCTTTTGTTTGTTTGAAGTATACAAGATAGTGGTAGAGTAGGATGCTCCAGTCGGAGTTCACCTGCTCTGTCTGTTCCTTTTTTCTTCTCTTTTTTGTTCTCTCTGTCTTGTGTTTTTTCTCTTTTCTGTCTTTTTCCTCAGTCTGCAGTGGAGCAGGGCAGGCAGTGACCCAGAGCAGAGCAGGGACCTGCAGGTGTGGAGCAAAGATGGCTACTGGTTGGGAACCAATGGAGCCTGGTCACATCTCATTGAAACCCTCACAGAAAGCCTGTAATGTCTAACTTTTTGGCTTTATTTCTTATTTTCCTAACTTATGTCTATCTATAATGTATTGTAACATTTTTCTTTATTTTCTCTATGTTTTGTCCCTAAGATTTGAACTGAGGTAGTTTGTACCTAAGATGGAGCTGTGTTTTGATGGCATTGTACACTTTTCACTGTTCTTTTGTAACTTGAGTACACGTAGCAATAAACCTAATTCTAATTCTAAAGCACACCTATACTGCATATATGTACAGTCAGAGAATCAGTTCGTGAAGTGACAGCCCTCTTTTAGATCTCAGCCTTCCTATCGAAGTCAGTGGGACTGTTATTGTATCTTTCTCCTGTATTCTCACATTCACTTTGCCTGACTTATTAAAGAGCTGACTCTGAAACCCTTGGTGAGATGTAAGTTGCTAGAATACTTTATTTTCTGAACTTCAGAGCAATGCCAGCTTAGCCAACAGCACCCACAATCTCCCAAACAAAATTTTTGAAGGGTGCCGCGTTGTAAAAGAATTGTCTGCTTTTACTTTTTGTCTTGCAGCTTCCATCTGTCACTCTTCTCATGGCAGTGTTTTCTGCAGGGATCGGAGGAACTTTTCAGTACGGATACAATGTTTCCATTATCAACGCTCCTACCATGGTGAGTCCTGGCTTGAATCTATTTTCAAGACAACAAGCCGTGCAGAGCTGGATGAACACAGCAGGCCAAGCAGCATCATAGGAGCAGCTCCTATGATGCTGCTTGGCCTGCTGTATTCATCCAGCTCTGCACCTTGTTGTCTCGGATTCTCCAACATCTGCAGTTCCTACTACCTTTGAATCTATTTTCATCTTGTCAGTCTACGGATGTTAATTCTGGCCTCAATGCAGAGCTGTTGCTGCTCAATCTGCCCTTGGCACCTAATCAACATAGTAGGAGCTGGCTGCAGTGTTCTGTACAATTATTTGACAACTTTACAAACATCAGAGAGCCTGGCCAGCACAGGGTTTAATGGAATGGTGAGTTGCAACCCACGGACACTTGCCTGAATTTCAATTTGAAACGGAGCAGTGAGTTAGCAATTCAGCTGTGGCTTGGTGTTGTCTAAGAATCATTCACTCTCTGACTTCTCCCTCTGTCCTATCTGCTTTGAAGGCTACAATTTTGCCAAAGTCTGTTGTGTAGGGGTAAATCCATCAAAAATCCGTGAAGTGCAGTTGGTTCACTGTCTTCTCGTTGGCTCGATTTTGAGTGGAAAAGCTTTGGGTTTAAATTCTGGTTTGAAAATTGAACACGAGGCTGACAATGCAGTGCAGCGCTGAAGGAGTGCTGCTGTGTTAGGCGTATTGTTTTACAGATGGGGAGTTAAGCCACGGGCAGTCAGCCCTGCTCATTGAATATTTTTTAAACAAAAAAATTCCCAGATTGCCTTTTCCACTTCCCCAGTTATCATGCCTCACTTCTCCCAGGACAGCAACTGGTTTTGGATGAGATGCTGGGACATGTATGTAGGTCTCACAGTTAGAAGATACAGTCTGGATGTACTGGGCTTTCCTGTTCACTGTTGTTCGTACAGGAGTGTCCTGAAGAACAGCAAGATCATAAGCCAAAGGTTGTTGACAGGATGGGCCTTTTGAGTTGTTAATACATTGAGTATAGTACGAGAGATTATCGATTTTTAAAAATTAAAAATTCACACGTTCCCTTAATGAGTGAACATGCAAAATGCTATGAAGACCTAAAAGTTAGCATTAGTTCTGGGCCATTTTGTAGGCATTCTCTCTACAATATAGTTATTGGCCTCTGAACATCTTATTCTCATTGGACATATTCTGTCAAAATTCCAGCATATACAAAAATTCATCAATGAGACATGGAAGGTCCGATACAATGACAATCTGGACAGAGATTTGCTACGACTTCTGTGGTCTGCAATCGTTTCCACGTTCACTTTAGGTGGGTTTCTGGGGGCATGGCTTGGAGGACACCTGGCGATTAGATTTGGTCGGTAAGTCTCTCCATGTTTATTCTTAGCACTGTAGCCTGCACTGAATGGCATGCCCCAGGCATAATTTGTCGATTACTTCATCGTAACGCCATGCTGTGTTAACAGGCACTTTCTCTGATATGGAGATCACCAAATATACCTTATATACAGGTAGGAGGCTGACAGCTCAAAGACACTGGCCAAAACTTAATTTAAAATGCAAACAGCTTACCCAGTGATCATTTAAAGTCGGTGTTCATTTCCAGTCACATTGCCATGTTTCATCTAAGGTTGGAAGAATTTATGTTGACTGTCTGCAATGATGGATTGTAACTTTTGAGTGAGTGAGCGTTAGAACATAGAACAGTACAGCACAGTACAGGCTCTTCGGCCCACGATGTTGTACCAAACTTTTACCCTAAACCTAAGGTCTATCTAACCTCCACCCCCACCTTATACTATCATCCATAGTCTATCTAATAGCCGCTTAAATGCCCCTAATGAGGCCGGCTCCACTACCCTCTCGGGCAATGGAGTAATCCACGCCACTACCATTCTCTGAGTAAAGAACCTACCTCTGACATCTCCCCTATATCTACCTTCACTCACTTTAAAACTATACCCCCTCGTAATAGCTACCTCCATCCTAGGAAAAAGTCTCCGGCTGTCCACTCTATCTATACCTCTGATCATTGTGGAGGATTGGTGTAAATGTCTGCCAATGACTGTTCTTCTGACATTTCCACCAAGGATCTGCCAAAATTAGAGTAGATGATGGCAAACCAGCCCCCTCTTCTTGTCCCCACCCCCCCAAAAAAGAAAAGTGGCATAATTCATCATGTCCATCCTGGGCTCTGTATTTAAGTGCTGCAGTTTGTTGATGAAAAATCTAAGGTTTGGAAATTCATGTCATGGTCCTGATCACCCTGCTCAAGATGTATTCATCAGTTAGAAATATTGGACAGATTTATTTCTCTTCATCCTTGATGTAAAGTCGCTGACAAGGCCAATATTTGTTGCCCATCCCGAAATACCCTGACTGGGTTTCTAGGCCACTTCAGAGGGTGGTTGAGCGTTAACCACATTGCTATAGATCTGAAATGTAACTCAATAGGATGGCAAATTACCTTCCTTTTTAGAAAGGTGGAACTAGAAGTGTTTTTAACAACAATCAAGCAATAGTTTGATGGTCACCACATACAAGGACCAGCTTTCAGTTCCAGATTTTTATTAATTAAATTCGCATTGCCCAAGCTACCAGAGTGGGATTTGAGCACTAGAGCATTTGCTTGGGCTGCAGGATAGATAATCCAGTGACTTTACCTCTGTACCAGCATTTCCCCATGACATTATATAATGCAAATAATATTGGAGCAGTACATTCAGATGTGAGAGATATCTCAACATAAACGTGTGCAGTAAACTATTCCAACTTGTTGGAAAATAGAATGGAGAGTGCGGATGAACATTCATTTTGCGTTTAATTCCTTTAAAAGCATCACTTGTCAGACTATTGAACAATCCATTCCCTTCAGTGTGTCACCAGCAACTGAGAATTCATATGAATCAGAGATAATAGGAACTGCAGATGCTGGAGAATCCGAGACAACAAGGTGCAGAGCTGGATGAACACAGCAGGCCAAGCAGTATGATGCTAGTAATTATTCTAGAAATGTTTTTTTTCAAAAGACACATGGTTCAGCCTCCAAACATGTATCAAACTAGAATGGTGACTTGTGCTTGTAACATTACAAGTTTCTGAAGAAAACTTGTTTATTGCTGGTGTCCTTTCCACTTTTCCCTCAGGCTTCTCCACCTTCAGTCATATGTCCTTCGCCTTCCTTGGTCACACATTTTTAAAAATCCTCTTTAAATTTCACTCTGCCTCTTGCTCCTTGTTAGCCCTTACTTCAAAGCCTCCTGAATGGCTACCATAATGTTCTGGCCTCTGGTTACCAGGTTTTAACTCTTCCCTCAAAGCTTGTAGGACTTAGAACACCTTGCTGTGCTTCCCATCCATATGATTGTCCTGCCTGCACTCAGGTACAATCCATTATTATTGAAGAACTATCTAGGCAACACAATAAATCCCTGACCTGTCTATCTTCTCTCCCACCTATCCGCTCCTCCCACCTCACTGACCAATTCCCCACCACTACCTACCTGCACTCACCTATCACCATCCCACCTGCCTTCCCCAGCCCCATTCCCCCATCTCTCTATTTATTTCAGAGCTCCCTTCCTCTCCCCCATTTCTGAAGAAGGCTCCTGACCTGAAACGTCAGCTTTCCTGCTCCTCTGATGCTGCCTGGCCTGCTGTGTTCATCCAGCTCCACACTGTGTTATCTTAAATCCCTGGGACATGCAGCTGCTGATTGGGCCCAAGTTACACCTAGATTTGATGAGGTCAGTGATAAATTGGACTCCAGAGCTATGATTCTAAAAAGACCACATCAAACCCAACCTGTCCCTGGTAACTTTATTTCCTTGTTCTTATTAATAATCCAATCTCTCTTGTGAGATCTCCCAAACGTCTGATTTTATTGTCTTCAAATGTAAAATATAGTTGTTCAAGGAGAGGATCTGCTGTCACCTTCTCAGAGCAACTAAGGATGGCCAGCTTGACCCACCTCCAGTGAAAAATATTTTTTAGCAAGTATCATCAAGAAAGCAGTGAAAGCAGAATCTGGCTTATTCAGAGAGCAGCCCCCTGAGCAAAGACCATAAGAAATAGGAACAAGAGTAGGCTGTTCAACCTCTTGAGCCTGCAGCGCCATCCAGTAGGATCATGGCTGCTCCAACATTCCTCACATCCACTTCCCTGCCCTTTCCCCATAACCCTTGATTCCCCGACTGACCAAGGATCTATCTTTCTCAACCTTAAATATACACAAGGACTCTGCCCCCACAGCTCTCTCAGGCAAGGAGTTTCAAAGACTCTCAACCCTCCGAGAGAAGAAATTCCTCCTTCATGTCTGTCTTAAATCGGTGCCTCTTTATTCTGAGGTTATGCCCTTTGGTCCTAGACTCCCCCATGAGGGGGACTGCCCTCTGAGCATTTACCCTGTCAAGCCCCTGAACAATCTGATACGTTTCAATGAGATCATCTGTCATTCTGCTAAACTCTAGTGAGTGAGACTGCCAAGCCTTTGCTCATAAGATGAACCCAGCACATTGGGGTGCAACCTGATGGATCACATCCTGGTGCCTGTGAGGTGGAGCAAGTGGGGGACTGGCACACCATTAGTTCTACTGAGGCCTGTCCCTTCATACTGTTTATATTTAATGTATGTATTTAATTGTCATTAAGCGACCTCTAGTATACTCACTGCAGCTCACTTCTGTGTTTCAGGAAAGGGACACTTTTACTCACCAACATCCCTATTTTGGCTGGATCCATTTTCATGGGAACAAGTAGACCCGCTGGAATGTTTGAACTTTTATTTGTCGGCAGGTTTCTTGTGGGACTACATTCTGGTATGGAGAAGCTGTGGCAGTCCCAATGCACATTAATGATTTAGCTCCTGCTGCATAGCGCAGTCAATTTCCAAGTTTGTGAATGATGAAACTTGGAAGTGATGTAACCTGTGAGAGGGACACCTGTAAAACTGCAGAAGGACATAGACAAGTTGGTGGAGTAGAGAGGGAACTGGCAGGTGAAGTTCAATACAGAGAAGAGTGAGGTGGTGCTTTGATAGAAGAACATGGGGATACAGGATAAAATGTGGGGTGCTATCCTAAAAGGCTCTGTAAAAGCAGAGATACCTGGATATATATGTGTATAAGGTGGCAGGGCAGGTAGAGCGAGCAGTTCGTAAATCGTACAATGTCCTAGGCTTTATCAATAAAAGGCACAGAGTACGGGAGAAAGGAATTATTCTGAACTTGTTAAATCTCAGCTAGTGTGTCTACAGTCCTGGGCACCACATGTAGGAAGGATGTGAATGCATTGGAGAAAGTGCCAAAGACATTTATGACAATGGCTCTGATGAGAAACTTCCAATTATGAGGAAAAACTGCAGAAGCTGGGATTACTATCCTTGGAGAGAAGGCTAAGAGGAGATTTGATGGTGGTTTTCAAAGTCATCATGGGAATGAATGGAGTGGATGGGGAGAAAACCATCCCTCTCACAAAATGATCAAGAAGCCACTGGTATAAGGGAATTTGCAAATGTGCTATGAGAAAAATCTTTAGCACACTGAGAGTAGTTCAAGAATGGAATGGACTGCTTGGGAATCAGGATGGAGGCAGAATTGAGATATTCAAGAGGCCATCAGATGATTAATTAAATAAAAGCAATATTTAGGGCTATCAGGGGAAGGCAGGTGAATGCCACTAAATTGTAATGCTTTGTCGAAGATCTGGTGCAGGAAAGAGGGACTGAATAGCAGCTTTCTGCACTGTAACAATTCTGTAATCTTCCCACAGATATTGAAAAATTCTGCTGCCCATGGCAGTAAAGGAGCCCTTTTCAGCTTTAGGCTGCAGATTGTCTTAGAAATCTCTTTGCAAAGTACAAAACTATCGGCTTTTAGCTAATTCACATGTTTCACATGCTTAAGGTTTTCGACTTGGTTAATGCTTCGAATTGACTATAAATATTATTTATTATAGCAGGTGGTCTTTTGGAATATAAATTTCTGCTTGCCCCTCAAGAAATCCTTCTTTCATTGCAGTGCAGTATTATAGCACAAATAGACCATTCGGTCCAACTCGTCCATGCTGACCAGATATCCTAAACTGAACTTAGTCCCATTTGCCAGCATTTGGCTCATATCCCTCTAAACCCTTCCTATTCATATACCCATCCAGATGCCTTTTAAATGTTGTAATTGTACCAGCCTCCATCACTTCCTTTGGCAGCTCGTTCCATACACGCACCACCCTCTGTGTGAAAAAGTTGCCCCTCAGATCCTTTTTAAATCTTTCCCATCTCACCTTAAACCTATGCCCTCTAGTTTTGGACTTCCTTACCCAGAGAAAAAGACCTTGACTATGCACCCTGTCCATGTCCCTTATGATTTTATAAACCTCTATAAGGTCACCCCTGAGCCTCCGATGCTCTAGAGAAAGAAGTCCCAGCTTATTCAGCCTCTTCTTATAATTCAAACTTTCCAGTCCTGGCAACATCCTTGTAAATCTTTTCTGTACCCTTTCTAGTTTAACAATATCCTTCCGATAGCAGTGCGACAAGCATTGTACGCAGTATTCTAAAGGTGGTCTTCCCAATGTCCTGTACAACTGTAATATGACATCCTAACTCAATGCTCTGACCAATGAAGGCAAGTGCACCAAGTACCTTGTTCACCACCCGATCTACCTGCGATGCCATTTTCAAAGAGTTTCAAACCTGCACTCTTAGGCCCTTCTTCAACAACACTTCCCAGGGCCCTACCATTAACTGTGTAAGTCCTACCCTGATTTGCCTTACCAAATTGCAACACCTCACATTTATTTAAATTAAAGTCCATCTGCCACTTGGCCCATCTGAACAAGATCTCATTATACGCTTAGATAACCTTCTTCACAGTCCACACTACCAACAACTTTGGTGTCATCTGCAATCTTACTAACCATACCTCCTATATTCAGATCCAAATTGTTGATATAAATAACAAACTTCCTGGACCCAGAACTGATCATTGCAGCCCAGCACTGGTCACAGGCCTCCAGTCTGAACAACAGCCTTGCATCACCACCTTCTGTCTTCTACCATCAAGCCAATTTTGTATCCAATTGACTAGCTCTCCCTGGATCCCATGTGATTTAACCTTATTAACCAGTCTACCATGTGGGCCCTTGTCAAAGGCCTGCTAGAGTTCACAACGTTGACTACTCTGCCTTCATCTATCTTCATGATAATCTCTTCAAAAAACTCCATCAAGTTTATGAGACACCATCTCCCCTACACAAAACCATGCTGACCAACCCTAATCATCCTTGCCTTTCTAAATACACATAAACCCTATCTTTCAGAATCCCCTCCGACTATTGGCATTAGACTCACTAGTCTGTAGTTCCCTGGCTTTTCCTTGCAGTCTTACTTAAACAATGGCATCATATTAGCCACCCTCCAGTCTCCTGACACCTCACATGTGGCTATAGATGACACAAGTATTTCTGCAAGAGGCCCCACAATTTCTTCCCTAAGTTCCCTCTATGTCCTGGGATACAATCCTGGGATTGGAGGGTTTGAGTTATAGGGAGAGATATGGGCCAAATGCTGGAAAATGGGACTAGATCAGTTTAAGATATCTGGTCGGAACAGATGAGCTGGACCAAATGATCTGTTTCCATGCTGTGTGACTCTACGCCTCTATATAGCTTGATCAAGTCCTGGTGATTTATCTACCTATGTGTTTTAAGACCTCCAGCACCTCTTCTTTTGTAATATGGGCTCTTTTCAGGGCATCGCTATTTATTTTCCCCCTATCTCCCTAGCTTCTATGTCTTTTTCCACAGTATATACTGAGGTGAAATATCTGTTTAGTATCTCACCTATCTCCTGTGATAGACATGTCACACATAGACAACCTCGCTAGGGAGAAGTTGTAAATGGGTCATTTTGTGATTGGCAAGATGTAATGGATGGTGTCCCCCAGGGATCAGTGCTGGGACCTCAACTTTCTGTATAAATACCGTGTATAAAGGGATAAAATATATGGTTGCTACACTTGTCGATGACACGAGGATAGGTAGAAAAGTAAGTTGCAAAAAGAACATAAGGAAGCTACAAAGTGATATTGCTAGGTTAAAAGAGTGGGAAAAATTTTCCAAATGGAATATAATTTGGGAAATGTAAAATTGTCCGTTTTAATGAAAAGGATAAAGGAGGCACATGCTATCTAAATGGTGAGAAATTATAGACCTCTGAGATGCAGTGGGATCTGGGTGTTCTCATGCATGGTTAGTATACAGGTCCAGCAAGTAGTTAGGAAAGGCAATGGAATATTGTTATTTAGCACAAGGGGATCTGAACATAGAAATAGAGTATTGGTGAGAGCACATCCAGTGTACTATATACAGCATTGGTTACCTTATTTGAGGAAGAATGTTAATACATTGGAAGTAGCTCAGAAGATTTACCAGACTAATACCAGGAATGGCTTGACAGGAAGGTTGGACAGGCAAGGCTCATATCTACTGGAGTTTAGAGTAAAGGGCAACTTGATTAAAACATACAAAGATGCTGAGGGTTTTGACAGGGTGGATGTGGAGAGGATGTTTCCTCTTGTAGAGAAACAAGAACTAGGGGGTAACTTATTTAAGACAGGTGAGGAGAATTTCTTTTCTCGCAGAACGCTGAGAGTCTTTAGAACCCTGTACCTAAAATAGCAGTGAAAGGAGAGTCCTTGAATATTCTTAAGGCAGAGGTGGATACCTTCTTGGAACACAAGGGAGTGAAAGGGAGGTAACAATGCAGAGTAATCCAATCAGTTGTGAACTTGCTGAGTGATGGAGTAGGCTCAAGGAGCCAAATGCTGCTGTTGTACTACAATACTAACTTCTTCGGTGAGCCTGTTTCTGTCAATCTGACTGAGATTAGACATTTGGAAAGTGAAGAATTCTTACACAAATGTGAATTCTCTTTATTTACACTGTCAATCATGTCATTGAATCTCTGGCCTGAGCATCCATATTGAGAAGGCAGTTTTCTGGTGGGATAATGTGTAAAGAAAGCACAGTGTACGATCAGAAGTGCCCATTAATCAGATTCTAATTGTTTTTCTTTCATTGACCTCTTCTTGCAGGAGTCTGTCTGTGTGTGCAGCCCATGTACTTAGGAGAGATTGCACCCAAGGCTGTGAGAGGGGCAGCATCAATGGGAACATCAGTGTTTATAACTGCTGGAATTCTAATTGGACAGATAATGGGGCAGAGGTAAGGCAGAGTCAGTGTCTAAAGTTTGTTGCCACAAGTTTCAATGAGTAAAAAATTGAAAGCTGCACCCTTTAGCGTATCACATCTGTCTAAATTGGCAGATGAGGTTGCTGCCAGTAGCACAAATTCCTGGAATTCTGAATGGATTATACACAATTATCAATTTGTCCCAATACTGCAGGACCCCAAATAATGCCTCTAATACAACATATTCCACAACATAGAATGAAGGAGCAATCTCTGACCCCGGCTGGCCTGGGAAGGAGAGAAACTTAGTAATGCTGAACCTGTAACATGTTTCAATGTATGAAGTGAGCTTCTTTTAAAATCTGTAAGAGAAAGGATGATGGACATCTTTATTATTTTAAGTATTGAGGAGAATGTGACTTCATTTGCTCGCTGTATTGAAGTAAATAGCCTCCAGACTTTGAGCCTTAATCTCCCTTTGAATAATCATCAACTTTTTAAAGGTGGGAGCTTAGATTAGCAACATGTGATACATTCTGGTGTGCAGAGTAAGGGTTCTTTCGCTGAGCTGTCTCATTTGTTCACCTAAATACTGGGTAAGGGTTGCATTGTAGACTGTAAAAAGGTGAAGATTTCCTTATGGCAGTGGCTGGTAGCATAGAAACCAAAAGAATCAAGGGAATTCTGGCCTTTATATGCAGAACTGTATGATACAGGAGTGTAGAAGCCATGCCTCAAAATATAAAGCTCTAATTATACCATACCTAGAGTCACTGTGAGTAGTTCTGAGTACCTTGGAGGGGATGCAACATTAAGTTAACTGGAATGTTCCCCGGGCTCCAAGTGTTCAACTATGACAAACTAGAGTTAAATTCCCTTTGAATTTAGAAGACCAAGTGGTGATTTGGTTGAGGTTTTCAAGAAATAAATCAGAACTGATGGTGTAGGTAGAAATAAACTATCTTGCTGCTTGTGGGAATATAGAGGCTGGGGGACATTATATAAAAACTGCAGCCAGAGCTTTCCGGAGTGAAATTAGGAAACACTGGGTTTGGAACTTGGCCCTGCAAACGAGGTTTAATGCTTCAACAATTGTTACACTTAAAACGGTGAGATCAGTAGATTTTTGTTAAAAGTTATTCAAAGACATGTGCAAAGGCAGTGGGAGTATGGTGATAGGCCATGGATCAGCTATTACTTTACTGAATAGTGAAAGCTGAGGCTAAACAACCTCCTCTTTCTGATGTCATCCTTCAACCTTATCCCAATTTATTGAATAGTATAGCTGTCGTATAGACAATAATGTAAAATATGTGGTATAGAATAGTATAGTAGAGAATATATGGTATAAAATATACGGTATAGAATTGTCTAACTATACTAGGGAATATATGGTATAGAATAGTACAGCTATAGTAGAGAATATATGGTATAAAATATATGGTATAGAATTGTCTAACTATAGTAGAGAATATATGGTATAGAATAGTACAGCTATAGTAGAGAATATGTGGTGTAGAATGTATGGTATGGAATAGTTTAGTTATAGTAGAGTATATATGGTATATAATATATGATATAGAACAATATAGTTTGTGATTACTGTAATCATATACCATTCCATGCTGAATGTAGTTTAAATAGCCCATTTAGCAGGACCAAACTCAAATATTGCTGAATAAAGACAACAATTTATAAAAACATTTCTTTCTTTAGTTCAGTTCACAAGAATATCAACATTTGTTCTGCATGAGAGGGGAATGCTGATCGGTTAGCAAGTGGACTCTGGTAGAAGTGTTGCCATGGGAATGTGCCAGTTAATGGTCATTGATAGTTAACACTCACGAAATAAAGCTTTAACTGTGAGGGATAAAATATCAAGTGTCAAAATTCAGAGCTTTAATGGGTATAATTGTGCTTCCATGAGGCATCCCACTTAAACGTTTTCAAATCTGTAATCAGTAAAGCAATTTGACTCTAACTGAATAAGTTTCAACTAATGAATGAGGCTCCATGTACTTTCACTGCTTTTCTTTTGATGCTAATGCTAGGGAGCTGCTTGGGGGAGAGAGATACTGGTCAGTCCTCCTCTCCTCTAGCTGTATTCCTGCCGTACTTCAGTTATTACTGTTACCATGGTTCCCTGAGAGTCCTAGGTACCTTTTCATTGATAAAGGAGAGGAAATGAAAGCTACCTGTGGTAAGTAATGTTCTTGTTTAAGGCATTCTTTAAATGTTCGTCCCACTTTTTAATATCATGGGCTAATTTTACTCTAAATAATGTAGCTTCATATGGTACAATTCCACTTTGCTTAATCTAACCTCCAGTATATTCCAGCTCTCACTGGATTCTGACTAATCTCCTGATACAGCCTGTGAAGCACTTTTTACAAAATTTAAGGATGTCTTATATGTGAAAGGTGATGACTAAACTTCAGTACAATGCTAATCGACTGTAACCAGCTTTCAGCATGGTACAGCTCCCAGTTCATTCCATCTTAACTTCCTTTTGTACAGTTCATTTGCACTAAACACAACCCTTCATCACTCATCATAGTCAAGGCACTGAAGAAGGGTCCCAACCCAAAACGTCAGCTTTCCTGCTCCTCTGATGCTGCCTGGCCTGCTGTGTTCATCCAGCTTCACACTGTGTTATCTCAGACTCCAGCAGCGGCAGTTCTTACTATCTCATTGTCAAGGCTCGACCTCTACAATTCAGCACCATGCAGCTCTGTTCATCGCTGCACTGCTTTCTTTCAAATAATGCCGTAACAGTCCAAAAGGTTAATATTACCAAATGTATTTCAGCTCCACTGAACACTTTAACCATTGTAAAGTCTGCTATCCAACCTCAGAATGCAGCACAATTTGAGAAATATCCCTGACAATTTAACCATGTTTGATAAATAATTGTTCATTATGTGTCACCCTTGGTTTAAGTGATAGCACGTTCCCCTCTGTGTCAAAGGTTGAGGTTTCATGTTCTACCCTAGAGATTTGTGCAGGGGATCTAGACTGACATTTCATTTCAGGACAGACGGAGTTTTGAAATGACAAAGGCATGGCCTCTCAGGTGAGATGTAAATTCCCATCCCGTGCTTCAGAAAGGAGATGGAGAATTCTCCCGGTGTGCTGGCCAACATTTTCCCTCGACCAATCATCTGGTCAACATCACATTGCTGTTTGTGGGATCTTGCTGTGTTTTCCTAAATTCACCCAGTTACTGAATTCCAAAAGTACGTATTGACTGCAAAGTGTTTGGGCATGATTCTGAAGTTAGGACAGCTGCTATTTCAATGCAAGTTCTTTCTTTCATAATACAGTTCAGCACTGCCTTGCTCATGAACATTGGTCAATCAGATCATTTGTGAATTTGGTCTCCTTGGTATAGGAAGGATGTTGTGAAACTTGAAAAGGTTCAGAAAAGATTTACAAGGATGTTGCCACGGTTGGAGGGTTTGAGCTATAGGGAGAGGCTGAATATACTGGGGCTATTTTCCCTGGAGCATCGGAGGCTGAGGACGGACCTTTTGGATGGTTATAAAATCAGACGGGCATGGATTGGATAAATAGGTAAGGACTTTTCCCTGGGGTAAGGGAGTCCAAAACTAGAAGGCATAGATTTAAGGTGAGAAGGGAAAGATTTTAAAGGAGTCTAAGAGGCAATGTTTTCATGCAGAGGGTGGTGCATGTTTGGAATGAGCTGCCAGAGGAGATGGTGGAGGCTGGTAGAATTACAACATTTAAAAGGCATCTGGATGGGTATATGAATAGGAAGGGTTTTGTGGGATATAGGGCAAATGCTGGCAAATGGGACTAGATTAATTTCGGATAATTGGTCAGCATGGACGAGTTGGACTGAAGGGTCTGTTTCCATGCTTTACATCTCTATGACTCTATGAAATACCGGCAGTGTCCTTTTTGGACAACCGAGTGCATGGTTAATTTTAGTGGATCAGTTCTTCTTCTATGTGGTGAAATGAAAATGGAATCGTTCTCTGCCCCAGCTCTCAAGAAATTCCATGATGCTAATTCGTACTTGAGTGAATTGGTGGGTTTGGAGAAGGAAAGTGCAGTACTACATGCGCAGCAATCAAAGCGACCATGTGAACTTCTCTTAGATCGCTCAACTCGATGGCAGCTGATCACCGTCGTCCTAATGCACATGGCTCTACAACTGAGTGGGATCAATGCTGTGAGTATCAGCACTGAGGAGGAGTCATATTGTACTCGAAATGTTGGCTCTGTCTCTCCCTCTGCCTCCATGCTGCCAGACCACTGAGTTTCTCCAGCATTCTCTTGAGCTTGTTTCTGACAGTGAGAGTCAGATTATCACAGAGCAATTTACTACACCACCTTCCAAATGTTAAAATGAAACATTCGAGCACCAGTCAGTTAAGGTCTTCGTAGATATATGCCAGTGTTTTAAGTTAAATTTAGGAGATCTTCAGTCGTTGCTTCATTGCAAATAATAGAGTAGAACTGGAAAAATGTGCTGACGGTGTCACAATCTTCCCAAATAATTACATTTGATCTGTAATTAGAAGCACTTTGTTTGTAGGCTTTGTTGACAGAGGTTCCGGCTGGGATTCATCCATTTGTATTGGGGTGACACAGATCATTCATTATACAGCCAACGTGAACACAATTTGTATTAAACCTTGGGAGAATCCTGCAGGCTGCTTGGATGTTATTTTTACACCTCGGGTGCTTGAATATGTGACCCAGGACATCTGTAAGTTTTTACAAAGTAAACTCCAATCTCAGTAATTATTTATTTGTTTGAGACTTGAGCCATTCAGGCGAAAGAAACAGTTTGGTGCAGTAATCCAGCAAACTGTACTTCATTTGTAAACTAATACTGAAGCTAGCAGGGCAGTGATTTTACAGGATTACTACAACACCTGCTTCCAGTTCAGTTTAGGGCACAGGATTAGCATTCAGCCTTTGGTCTCTCCAGCCCCTGTTGGGGCCTTCTGTTTCTGATTGGACACCAGGCTCTAGCTTCAGTTTCAAACTGGCTGTGCATCTTGGTTCCCAAAAAATGCTGCTGTTTATTAACTGATTCCAAGCCACGGCCCACATCTGTATCAGTCAATGTAGAACAGTACTTTTTCCTTTGGGATACTTTTCATTATCATACTGTTACTGTATTTAATAGGCATTTGGCTTTTAAGAACAAAGCCATATCACTAATCACTGCGTTAAAAACATATTCAACATTTCAGGCCAAGCAGCATCATAGGAGCAGGAAGGCTGACGTTTCGGGC